ATGATTATTTAGTATTCCTCAAGTTAATATTTGCTGTTTAACATAGCTAGTTTCTTTTTCATCCTGTAGAGATTTGCCTGTTAGGAAAAGCATGAAATTATTTGTAGCATTTATTGATTTTTTTTCCTCAGCCTTTTATGAGTTAACTTGATCTATGCTCCTAGCTATCGATTCTTATACCAAAGTTGCACCTCAGTTCTTACTCTAAGAATCAATCAGCATATCTGCCCAAATGCTATCCTCCAAACTGTACTCTGTCTCCCAATAAGGTAGAGAAATTTCTTGCAGGAGAAAAACTAATGAGAAAAGGCCCTACTGGGCGTTGGAGCCCATGCTGGGCACTTGTCCTTAGTATCCTTTGCTCTTTTGACCACTGACAAGTTACATAATCGTTCTTCATTTTCTGTCTCCATATATAATGGCAATATAAGTGCCTGCTTATCATACAGGTCTGTTGGGATTATGAACGACAGTGACAACGTCTGAGAAGATGTATCACATTCCATGGCGAAAAGGTCCACATGGCATGTCTGGAAGGTGGAGGAGTTGGGGAGGGGACTGCTGAGTTAGCATATGAGTCTAGCTGGTTGGCCTCAGCCGCTCTTAAAATGATGCTGCTGTTTTCTTTCAGATTCCTTTTTAATTGAAAGTGTTGTTCATCCCTTTGCTGAAAAAATTATATGCACATATTTTTAAAGTCTTAATGCTTTACTCCTTGTTTGGATTTAAGAGACTGACGTCTGTGGGAACCAGGTTACTAGAAGAAGGGAAAGATCAATTAAAGTTGTTAACTTTTGAGTTTGTGTTTCCAAGGTGAAAGGTCATGAAACATTGCAGGGCTTTCTAAATTATTATACTTACTCCCATATAGTGCTGACATTTTATATCCATATGGATAAATGAAGGCACGAGTGTGGACTTACGTGGATTATTTAATGGAAAAGCTAAAATTCATTGGCACTAGATCAAATTACATATCTTATCATTTTAGAGCTGGAAACTATAGGGACTTATTAAACTTGACTCTCTCAATTTGTAGATGGCAGAGAGACCAACTAGGAGGACACAACAGTGGTCTAGGAAAGTGAGGCTAATGAGGTCCTGATTTGCAGCTTTGGCAGTGGGGATGGCCTGGATTCAGGAAATATTTCCGAGGGACAGAATCAACAGAATTTGATGATCTTGTGGGGTTATGGAGTGGGGACCTTGAGGGGATGGAGGAGTTGAGAAAGATGGAGATTTTGGCCTAAGTAGGCTGAGCAGTTGGGCATAAGTGCAGCTCCTCTGGCTGATCCACTTCCCCTAGCTGTACTGACCCTAAGCATCTTACGTTCCTGCTCTTTTTGCCTGGAGATGCAAATGTTAGCCTATTAGGTGCTGGGGTGAGATGAGACTTACTTGACTTTTGTATCATTAATTCACCCCACCAATACTTAGTGAGCACCTACTATATATGTTTAGCACTGCTCACCTCTGAGGACATAAAAGTAAGACATGGTGCATGCCCTTAAGGAACTTAGGGAGAGACATATGTAAACAGATAGGTGTGATGAAGTGTTGTGCATTAGGGTTTCTCGGCCTCAGCACTATTGATATTTTGGACCCAGTGATTCTGTGTTGTTGGGGGTGTCCTGTGCATTGTAGGATCTTCAACAGCATCCCTGGCCTCCACCCACTAGATGCCTGTAGCACCCCACCCCTAGCTGTGATGACCAAAGATGTCTTTGACATTGCCAAATGTCGGTCCCGTGGCATCAAAATCACTCCTGGCTGAGAACCACTGATTTGTATGGTGTACTGTGAGGTTGCAAAAAGGGAGTAATTCTGCCTGAGTAGAGTCAGAGGAGATCCAGTTTGGGCAACATTAAAGAGATGAATGGGTGATCCTCCCAGGAGAACTTCGAGAGCTGGGCTTTCCAGCCAGAGGGAGTGGTGCAAAAGATTGCACCTCATATACGGCAGGTCACTCAGTGGCTTGACAAATTGGCACAAGAGGAGACGAGAGAGGTAACCAGCTCAAGAAATCAGAAGCCTTTTACACCATATAAGAGAAAAGGATTTTATCTTCCAGGCGAAAGAAGCCACTGAGGCATTGTAAGCAAGGAATAATGTGGTCAGATTTGCAATTGAAAAGAGCCATTTTGTGAACAAGGTGGAATAGGAAGAGGATGGAGAGAGACTAGCGGGGAGATTCTTGCAACAGTCCAGGTGAGAGGGAGGATATTAGTTATGTTCAGAGGAAAGGGTGATGAACTCGGGATTCTGGTCAAAGTGACTGGTGAATGGGGCTGACTCCAACTGAGGGAATACAAGAGAGGAAATAGATTTTGTTTAAAGATAGGTGGGCACAGGAAGTTCAGTTTCAGAGGTACTGAGCTAGAAGTGTCCACAGGATATTTGTCTGGAAATGTACCGTAGACAATATTTAGGTTTGAAGCTCAGGAGGGGCCATGTTTCTGTGGCCAAGATCCTGAATCTTTCCCTAGCTTCTCACTCTGGCCGCAGCATCCTCTCCTGGGTCTTCAAGAGAGAAAACCGCTGGAAGAGGAAACCGCACATGGAAGAGTGATCCAGGGCAGCTTGGGCTCCCATACTTTTATTTGTAATTTCCCTGTTCTCATCACTAAAGATACATTTTCTATTTCTGGTGGCTTGTGTGACCCTGAGTATTCTACTTTGTCCCTTACTAGTTTCAGTGTCATCAAGGGGTTTGGGGTGGAGGAAGGTGGGGAGAGAGAGGCCGGAGTAGGCACACGGATCCTAGGTCAGCACTTCCAGTCTTTTCCCATGAAGGCAAACACAGAAAATGACACTATTTGAATGGCATGCTGGGGCAAACTTAAGGGGATTTGAGGGCATCTATATAGGGTGTAGTGAGAAAATTTCACTTTTGATATATAATCATGGTTTTAAAAAGTATTAGGGATTCATAAAACCACAATGAGATAGCACCTAACCCCAGTGAGATTGGCCTGTATCAAAAAATCCCAAAACAACAAATGCTGGAGAAGATGTGGAGAGACAGGAACACTCTTACACTGCTGATGGGACTGCAAATTAGTGCAACTTCTGTGGGAAAGAATTTGGAGATTCCTCAAAGAGCTAAAAATTGAAATACCATTCAATCCAGCAATAGCACTATTAGGCATCTACCCAAAAGAGCA